ACATATTGTTTTATTTTGTTAATAATTATTGTGTTTATATTGTTTAAAACGTATTGTTTCTCTTTATCATCAATGAAAATTAAATTAATCGTTATTAAAGAATAACAATGACAAGAGTTTATGGTACTATGATTATATGCGTGGCGGGTGAAGCAGCCTGTCGGTACGAAAAGGGCACATGGAGCGGATGCGTGGATCAAATATCGACGAGAGTGGACAATTTAAAGGCAAACAGTGATCCCAGTTGTGATAAGACACGTTTGACTACGAAGAGGTGTAAGTCGGAGACCAATACCAATACCAAGAAATCAGCCAAAGGAGGTATATATATATATATTATTTTTTTGTAATAAAACAAGCACACTTACAGTAATCAATACTAACGACTCAATTATCAAAAATAATTTATGCCCCATATTCATTAATATTAAATAAATTCATTTAGATAACATTTTAGTATTTTCAAAATGAAAGCAAGACAAAAATACTAACAATAAGAGGAAGAGAGAAAAGAAAATGAGGGAAGAAAGAGGGAGAAAGACAGAGCAAAGGCAGACTTTTATCAGGACAAGCAAAACAGAGATTCGGCGTTCATTCGACTTGATGAAGAAGCGGAAAGTAGCAACACCCACATCGATAACGAAGGGGACCCTTCTCTCTTTCTCTTTCATTCTCTCTTTTCTCTCTTCATCAAGTGTACTCGATGTCGGCATTGAAAGAGTTAAAGATAGCTTCTTGTAATGTCTCTATGGGGTCATGGACAGAACAAACAACGAATACGATGCGCAAAAGCCTCTGCTAATAAACATAAACTTTTTCTATCTCTTTTTTTTTTTTTACTATTAAAGAAAACAAAAATAAATTATATATATACATTTTTATTTAAAAGAGGAATTATAYATATATACACCAATGTAACAACATGAATCTAATATTCGTTAATATTTTTCCAGGCGAACGATCGAACAAGAAGTCGAGCAAGCAGTAAAATCATATTTTCGTCTAAATGTACTACCGTGTCCCTTTGTAAAACACCCGACGATCAGCAAAAATCCAACAACGGGCAACGAACAAAAAATGCATTCTTGAGTTTCCTTCAACGTACATATGGATATGTTTGATTAACGAATTGTCGTTGTATTGATAAATCGCGAGTATACTTACTAAGATCGAGACATTTTCGTCGATCGATAGAAATAATAATAAGAATAAGAATAATAATAATAAGAGTAATAATAATAATAATATTATAATAATAATAACAATAATAATAATAATAATAATAATGATAATGATAATAATATTAATAATAAATGAAATAAAATAATAATAAATGAATAAATAATCGTTTCTGTGTATAGGGGTGTATAATTTCGTTACGTAACAAATAAAATCAAACAAATAAACAAGCCCAGAAACAACACACATCTTTTCTTTTGCTGAAAAAATACATTCGTTGATCGACCTTAAAAATTTGGCAGAAGCACGCGATACCCCAAACGCATGCGTAAGAATTGAACAAAAAATAATAATCAACTCTTATTGCGTTAGAAAGAATTATTATTATTATAATGTTTATATGTACTAATCGTATCGAGATTATATACGATACCCTATTGCTTCTATAAATATATATTTACGATGAGCTCTTCCATTTACGTGGCCAAAACTTACTCCGTGAAATATATTTTACATATATACATATGTAGTACATATTATATGTATATATAATATAAAATTATATTTTGTTGTTTTGTGAAACTTTTTTCATTTTTTTTTTTCTGCAAATAATTTCAATGTAATATATATGGTACCATGAAAGATTGATAGAAAATGTCAAAATTCACATGTGCGCTTTCAATCTTTCACCGACGAATTCGGTATGTATTGACAAGCGACCATGTGAATCATGACATTCTCCAATTTTGGTTTTTCACGATAGTATATATATATATATATATATATATATACATTTGCAGAAAGTCCTCTAGATGGGTCAAAAGTTTTGAAATAATTTTAAAAATCAATTACACTCCTTTTCATGACTTCTTAAAAAAAAAAATGTACGCAATAGGTTTTTGAGAATCAACTAAAAACTTGGACCCATCTAATGACTTTTGTCCATGTATGTGTTTGCGTGCATATATATATATATATATATATATATATATATTAAAATTTCAATGACGTGTTAATCTATGACGACTTTTTTCTCATTGTCAGTAAGTCAACAAAATGAAAAAAACAAAAGAAAAAAAATATAATAAAAATAATCTATTAGATAACTTTTATATTTAAATAGTACTTTTCTATAAGCATCATTAATTTGTTCATTAAATTATATTTTGCTTTTTATATTTTTTTTTTTTTAATTTTAATTTCACGGGATATTTAAAAAAAAATTAAAACGATAATAAACACAAGAAAAAAGGGAAAAAGAGAACAAGAAAAAAAATGTCACGTTGACAATATTTTTGAGTTTACCAAATATGTAGATGTACGATGTGTCGATGTTTAAAAATGATTATGTATATTTTATGTAATAATATGCAGTCTTCGTATTAACGATGATTACATTGTCCGTGATATATATTCTGAAATTTTTCCATCATTTTTCAAACATGTGTCCCTTCTTGTACACAGTTTCACAATCGTTTGAAAAAAAAAAAAAATAAAAAAAAAAAAGTATAAAAAATAATAAAAAAGAAAATCAAAAAATACAAAAAAAAAAAAAGAAAAGTATCCTTTTTATCTCTATAAATGGAAAAGATAACTCGCTAAGGATCCAAAAATAAATAAATAAATAAATAAAATAAAAGCCGATGAGCACGAAAATCAAATGACATTAACATATTACATTGTCTCGAAAAGTTTTATAATTTTCGGCACCATATCTCACAATCAGCCATGGCCATGTTTGTCTTTTTAAAGTCAAGAATGTGGTTCTCACAATAATTATAAAACATCTTTACCAAAACTATACAAAATCAAAATGTTATTCTCCAAACTCAACTGATTGTGAGATCGATATTTACTGTTTTTAAATCTAAATGTGTATACAAAAGTTTGTCGGTAACGAGAACAACAGCAAGAAAAAGAGAAAAAAAAAAAGTAAGAATAATGAAATATAAAAGAATAAAATAAAATAAAAATAACAAATCAAGTACGCCTTTTAGACAAGATTTTTCGTGCCTCGATTACGATATAAGTATATCGAGCGTAAACAAGCATGATATCAAGAATCGTAGTTTATCGTCTAGATTACGTATATTACACCCCATATCATCGTGATGATTAAAAAATACAATTTATTGAAATTATGGCGTTTTTAAATAGCGCCATGCGCATTACACGTTATCTATAGGCCCATTATTATTATTATACAATATATAGTTATTATTATCATTAAACGTGTCTATTAAGGATTTAAATGAAACATCATGCTTGACTTCTCTGTGTGTGGAATTTAAGAATTAGAAAAAAAAAAGAAGGAAAGTTCTTCGTCTTTTAAACAACATTGTAACATAACATTAATAGAAAATACGTTAAATGATTAGAGAAGAAGTAATTTTTTCAAATCCTTCGATGATAGTAGATCAAACAACTTATTGTTAGATTTTTAATGTCTCTTTCTATCTCTCTCTCTCTCTCTCTCTCTCTCTTAACGTGAGATTACGAATTTCGGTATGTAATTATTATTATTATTATTGCTATTATTACTATTGTTGTTATTTTTATTATTATTATTATTATTATTGGCTTATATAAAATCTAAAAATCTACAACATTGCAATGAAATGAAAATTTTCAATTACATTATAATCAATATCATGTTCAATTATTGTCAAATTTCATTGATACTATGTTCAAATAATTTAAGCTCGTTATTATTAAATAAATTATTATTATTATTATTACTTTTTTTCTCTTACATTATGCAGTAAGCATTTAGCCACTGCCACGAACATAATCAAATTTGATTCAACAGATTGAACCGAATAGTTGAGATTAAATATTTGTTTTATGATCTTTTAAGGGATATATATTGGTTTTTTTTTTTTTTTTTATTAAACTACTATTTCTTTTCTTTCCTCCCGTTAATTTTTTCACTCGGTATATATTTTCTAGTTTATTTGGCCTGTCACTGGATTTATTTATGGAATTGGCGTTATGTAATAAAAATAATACAAAAACTGTATAATGTATCTCCTTATTAAATAATATTGTGTAATCATTACACATGTAATAAAAATCCAATGTTGTCAATAAAAAATAAATATTATATATAAATTCTAAATGCATATAATTTATAAATTCATTTTTTAATGATATTGTTTTTAAAATTGTCATTTTATTCTTATGAATGAAAGTGGGATATAACAATGAGAATATTTATGCAAAGGAAAACATTTTATTTGTAGTGAAAAATTTTTGACTATATAAAAAATACAAAATACTTGTATATATTATATCCTAGATATTATATAATAATTCATACAAAGATTATAATACTTGTTAATATAAAATCATGGACGGATTTAAATATTATCTTTGCTTTGGCTATTAAAAATTTTTTTAAAGACATTTTGTATGAACGAGTTGAACATTACAAATTCACGAAGCTATTGTTTCAATTTCAAACAGTCTTGATGTAAATATTTTTTTTAAGTTGAAATAAAAAATACGAGTATTTTTTATATAATAAAATAGATAGTGTTATATAAAATTAATAAAAATTTGGTGTATATATAAATATATAGTATGCATTCTTTCTAGTACAGAAATGGACGGAATTTATATTTGTTCCACTTATAATAAAACATATATAACACTATTAAACTATAAGAAAATAATATTCATGATAATAAAAAGATCTTTGAATTAGACTTTAGCTAATAACAATATATATATATATATATTGTATATATATATAATAATTATGCAACTATATATATCTCTAAAAGAATTTTGTTTAAAGCTGTTAGGTGTATATAGTTTTTCTATATATTTCTAAATATTAAAAGAATTTTAAAATATGTTTAAAATATGTCAGTTATGCTAAAGAAACAGAAAGTTTACGAGAATAGGTTTTTCCCTCCCATTCTTGATCGGAGGGAAGAGATTCATGACGTACTTTACAAATACGTGGTCCATATTTGAGAAGTACCATTATAATGCCAACTACGAAAAGCGTTAAACAAGCACTGGCTGGCCAAAATACGTGTAAACCCATTGTGCAGTTACTTCAAAAGACTTCTTAATAAAAATGTGCTTTGTAATCAGACTCTATTAATCTTTTTTTCGATATTATTTTCTATTTTGTACAAATAAGAAACATAGAGAGTGTTTCTATACTAATACTAAATGCGTTTACACTATTTTCTGACCTTTGTACATATATTTCTCGATCTTAAGCTATTAAAATAAATGTGATATTAAATTTCACTTTCACGTTTATGCATTTCCAAGTATTCTTGCGAATGAGAACCTTTGTCTAATGATTCAGTATCGTGATACTCTACTATTTTAGACTTAACAATTGGATGAGCAATGTGAACGGATTCTAGTTCACTTAAATCCAAAGGAGGAGTTTTATGTGGTAATACTGTCCACAAAGATTGAATGTATCGATTTCCTAAAAAAAAAGTAATATTATATTATATATAGAATTGAATGCATCTATATATGTAAAAATATAAGACGTAGACGTGCAATTAATATATATTAAATATAAATATATTAATAATAGCTATATGATAAACACAAAAGATTATATCTTATTAATTAAACATTTACCGGTATGACGATCTTGCCAATAAGCTTTGTGACGGGAACACCAACAGTAGATTATATTCAAAAGAAATATAATTCCACCTATTATTGAACAAACAGTGATGGTTATATAAAATGGTGTGAAATCTCCGTATTCGTGCTTTACAAAATATGGATTCTTCAGGTATTCTTCGCGTTCGTCTAGAATAGACATTTTATAAATTGAAGACTTGGTTGTTTCTGAAAAAGAAATCCATTTATATTAAACATAATGTAACAAACAAATATGGATATATACTTGCAATAAAATGATACGTAATTTATAAATAAATAATACAGCAATATTTTATTTGAAACTAGTTAACAAGTAAAATACTTGAATATTCGAGACTCATTAAAAACGAATTTGATCTGATGAATGAAACTTAAAGAAAAGTGCGTATATGATAAGGCGTTGTCATGGCATTCCACTTAACTAACTCTTTTTAAGTACACATAAAACAATTTAAATAAATAAATTAATAGTAAAGTAGTAATTAATAATAAACTTATTAATTTAAGAAACTACAGGGATTTTAGTGAAAAGATGAGTAATCCAAACAATTATAAATTACATACTATATACCAATAATGATATTATAATGATATACACTATAGATCTGTCTCGTGTTTTCTTTAAATTTACATAAAATATGATTCATTTTTAAAATATATACATGCATATACATACATATAATTTTGAAAAATAATATCTATCAATCTTAATTTCGTACATATAAAAATACTTACAACAATTAATGAAAAACACACAATAGATGTCCGTAAAACAATACAAGTGTGCCATGTTGGAATGTGTTTAGTTGCGTTGTCGTAACGTGCATTTAATCGAATTGTATTTGGGCGGGGCATAATAAATAGTGGGATGAATAGAGCAGAAACATTTCGTTGAATTTTAAACGCGCGGATGCTGACGTCATAATACACTATTTCTATATTCTTGACCAATAAGAAAAGAAATAGAAAGCGCGCCATATCGAAAATTCAATTGCATCATTTTTCATATTATTTTGACATTTTTATTATGTGGATTATAATCATGGTTACAGTATTAAAGTTTAGAAAGATGTAATAATAATTGAATGCTGGAATGCTATTGTAAGCACAATACAATAAGTTGTACAATGAAGAGAATTGGAACAACCATGTTTACTCTCGTTCTGTTCTCAAATGATTCTTGCGAGAAATCGATTATACTTCTTGTCACTACCACAAGTTGTCGCCACTATTGCACCATTTGTGATAGATACTTTAGAATTTTCTCTACATTCATAGGATTTCATAATCAATGATTAACACTTGGCATGCGGGCAACGTATTTTTACGTTTAACGCAGTCTGTCACTGGAGCGCGGGTCACGTAAAAATACGCATTTAGTAAATTTATAATGGATAGCGAGTAACGTACAATTACACACCATACAATGTCACACATACATGTAACAGTGTATGTAAACATAAAAAGAAATTGCTACACAACGCTTTGTATTGTTTCTTTCCACAAATTTCACTTGTCGAATTACTCGGTCTTTTGCTGAATTACTTGGTCTTCAATCGAATTCCTAGCTCCAAAATGTACAATCGTGTTTTGTCAATTTAATGCTTGGTTTTTTATTATTGACTACACAATTGATAAAATGAGCCGTTCTAACAAAAATATTGATGAAGAAATATGCGCTGACAGATTATCGGACTTTTCATATGACAGTGATTCTGAAAGTCTAGATACTGCAGAAAGCGACAATGATGAAATTATTCCACGTTCTCAAGTATTCATCCAAAAAAGAATTTCTAACAGTTCTGAAACAATTTCTGATGAAGTAACAGATGAATGGTCATCGATTGACAATCCTCCAGTACTTGAAGAGTTTTTAGGTCATCCTGGAATAACTGATATGGCTAATGTTCCTGAATCCATAGCTGATGCAGTAAAGTTATTTATAGGTGACGATTTTTTTGCATATTTAGTCACGGAATCAAACAGATATTATTATCAAAATATGGATCAGTTCAAAATATCTCGCAAAAGAATGAAATGGAGAGATATTACGATTCCAGAGATGAAGAAATTTTTGGGACTTATTATTCTCATGGGACAAGTTCGTAAAGACGCACGAGACGATTATTGGTCAACTGATCCTTGCACAAGTACGCCGTTTTTTTCTAGAACAATGTCAAGGGATAGATTTCGCCAAATATGGACAGCTTGGCATTTCAATAACAATGAAAACATTACAGACGAATCTGACCGATTATACAAAGTCAGACCTATACTAAATTATTTTTCTGAAAAATTCAATAACATTTATAAACCAAAACAACAAATATCGTTACATGAGGGCATAATACCTTGGAGAGGACGATTGTTTTTTAAAGTTTACAATGCTGAAAACATTATAAAATACGGCATACTCATAAGAATATTATCTGAAAGTGACACTGGTTATATTTGTAATTTTCAAGTATATGCAGCTCAAGGATCACCGTTGATCGAAACGATATACACAGTAGTTTCACCATATACTGATGTCTGGCACCATTTATATATGGATAATTATTACAACAGTGTCGATAACACGGAAGCCCTTTTACAAAAAAAAATACGAATTTGCGGAACCGTAAGGAAGAATAGAGGTCTACCGGAGTGCTTGAAAAAAACTAATTTGAGAAAAGGAGAATCAATCTTTCGCAGAAAAAAAGATATATTGGTACAAGTTTGGCAATCTAAGAAAGAAGTTAGTCTCATCTCTTCAATCCATTCCGCGGAAATGAAAAAAAGTAGTAATGTTGATCGTACTACGAGAAAAAAAATTATAATGCCAAATGCTTTGATCGACTACAACAAGTACATGAAAGGAGTAGATCGAGCCGATCAGTATTTGTCCTACTATAGTATTTTGCGTAAAACAGTGAAGTGGACAAAGCGTTTAACTATGTATATAATGAATTGTGCATTTTTCAATGCATATGTAGTATATAATTCGACAAAGATGCAAAAAATAAGATTCAAGAAATTTTTGCACGACACCGCACAGCATTGGGTTACTGATGAACTACCTGAAATCAACACTGATGAACTACCTGAAATCATCATTGAAGAACCAGAGCAAATGATATCAAAACGCGACCCTCCTGGAAGATTATCCATGGATATGCGCAAACACGTATTGGAGAAAATTGTTGGTACAGGGAAGAAGAAAAATCCACAGAGACAATGTCGCGTGTGCGCAGCCAAGAAAGTGCGAAGTGAAACGTATTTCATGTGTAACTTCTGCGGGGTTCCACTTCACAGAGGAAAATGCTTTGAACGGTACCACACTGTGAAGAATTATTAACGTGTTATCAGTTATATTATATTATATTGTATTGTACTTATTACATACAAATATTTTTGGATAGATAGTAAAACTTTAAAAATCGTCTTTTTTTGTGATTTTGTAAAAATGTCGTTTTTTTTGTTTGTTAAAATAAATATATAGAATATATATTTAAGTGTAAAATAAAAAAAATTTCTTTGATAAAAACGAAGTAGTTTTTGATTTACTGCGATTTTATTGAATGACCAAACTCTCACGCGATTCACGAAAAGACGCCCGCTGAACGCGTAACTTGACAATGAAAAGTAACCCATATGCCAAGTGTTAAAATCAAAAATCATAACGACATTTGGAAATAATAATATATTTTAAAGATATCAAATTCTACTTAATCATAATATTAATACACTATTAAGAATACTTGATACAATACATTAGAACTTCTTTTACTTCTGAACTGCAGTTGTAGTAGATGGATTAGATGATTTGGAATCACGGATTGAAGCACTGCGTCTTCGTTTTATTTCTTCTTTACGTCTATTCTTGGCTTCCTTTTGCCTTTGAGCCAAGAGCTTAGCATAATCAGCTGCTTGCTCCTTACGTATCAAGCAACGCCTCTTTTTCAATGCACGCCTATGTCTCCTTCTCTGTAAGTATATAGACCAAATATATTAGTATCATTTAAGTGATTCGATAATGTTTCGATACATATTAATAAATGTTTTTTTTTATTATACCTGTAATGTCAAAGGCGTAATCAGACGTTGAATTTTAGGAGCCTTAAGACGCTCCTTCTTGCCTTCTTTCTGGATGGGTCTTTTGACGACGAATTGGCGTACATCGTCTTCTTTTGTAAGATTAAAGAGCTTACGAATTTTACTAGCTCTCTTTGGTCCTAAGCGACGTGGAACTTGTGTATCAGTAAGTCCAGGAATTTCCTTTGTGAAAATAATTATCAGAAGTTAACAAATCTAATAAATGCTACTTTAATTATTTAATCTGATAAAAATAATTTAATTGAATTTGTTATTGTCTCGTTAGTACACTGAGAAACAGTAAGAAATAATATAACAGTTTCCCAAATTATAACGATCTTTAATCTACCATGTCAACGATAGTATTTCAAGATTATTTGCAATTCTTGCATACACCCTTGTAACATGGAATCAGTAGGAAACAGTTGGAATTTCAGATTTATCTTACCTGTTCTCCCTTCTTCACAATTACCAATGCAAGCACTGACAAATTTGCATCGACAATGCAACCACGTACAGATTTACGTTTTCTTTCTCCGTCACGCCTGGGTCTGTAGCAGGAGTGTCCCTTTGACAGCAATAATCGTACACGACCTATTTCAAGTATTATAATATTATCTTCAAGAGAAAAATAATACCTACAATTACATGAATATAAAATTAAAAAACACTTACCATTGGTCAAGATACCCTGCTTCATAGGAAAACCTTGTTTATCATTTCCACCAGCAATACGTACTACGTATCCCTTCCATTCATCACCAAGAGAGTCGGCTTCTACCTCTGCTCCCATACGTTTTTCATAAAACATTCGGAGCTTGTGTTCGTCCGAAATTTCGAACAATTTTTGACATCCTGTGGCTGGAAACGATACGTTCAACTGTAACAAAATAATCACTAATGATTAATATTACGAAAATTTCTATTTGAATGTTGTTACAAATATAGCAGTTAGGTTATATTCTTAACACGTGTATTCAGTAATATAAATATAATGTAATATAAAAGAATCTAATAACTTAATATTTAATATTCGAGTCTTTGTAGTATTTTGAAAATTTTGAAAATTCTTAAAGGGTAAAAGATTTTGAAAAAATGTTTATATTCGTACCTTCATCGTAATGAAATTTTAATATTATTGCAGAGTTATGTTGATCGTTCCATACGCTCGCAAAATACACACAAGAAGGATACGCACGTGGAGTGTAGTATAAGGAAAGAATACAAAAAAAATCACTATTAAACTCTACCGCATACAGTATACGTCTTTATGGAGATCGATTACAAGGATGTAGATTGAAAGAGTTCACGAAAGTCAGCGTAACATAGGAATGTCGAATAGCGAAGGAGATAGGCCGTTATCGTAGCAATCGAAGCAAGTAGTGTTTAAACTATTCACAAATCCCCTTTCTTTCCAATGGTCTCAAAAGATTATTTGTCATAACTCGATCCTTGCGACTAGGGATCCTATAGGAGGGATGCGCCATGTACATTGCTGGGGGACCGGAATTAGATTTTGCGCGCGAATGATTCAAACATTGAAATAATTATGAAATAATGAATTGCATCAAATACAGAAAAAATGAACTATATTTAATGATAATTAAAAATTTATATTAAAATAGAATAGGTTACACGAAAAAATTATTATAAATTCAAGCGGTCCCCCAAAATTTTCAGCCAATGGCACATGAGCTGAATATGAATGGCGCATCCCTCCTACTGGATCCCTACTTGCGACAAGTTGATTATGCAAGTTGGCACCACTGCTGACGCCACTTTGTGCTACGTACTTTCTAAATTTTTTTTGTCATTTATAACATTAGTTTTATTGTGTCAAGAGTAAAGGAAAATCCCTAGCACTAAATTTTACTAGGAGAATTTTTCATTGTCACGATTCTTGTATCAAAATTTGGATGAACCTTATTTTCTTAAACTAACATTTAAATCACCTTATGCGTATCTATGAGAAATAATTAACAATAATATTTAAATATTAATTTTAATGCAATAGGACTTTTATAATTGCTTAAATATCGTTTAAATGATTACAGCAAATGTATTATTACCTATTTAATAGTAATCGCAATTAATCACTTTTTTTTTGCGTTATTCGAAGAATTAAATAATAGCACTATGTTTTTTATGCCTCTAAAAAATATATGAATACTTGACTCACTTTAATAAATATTGATTATTAGAATAAATATTTTACACTTGGGTAACTTTTGTTATTTATAATTCACCTTACCTATAGTTTTTGATATCTGAACAAGTACAATTCGTCATTCATATAATGATATAGTTTCAAAATAATTAATCACAATTATCACAGTTGCATGTAGGAATGACGTAAATCATTAAATTGGTTTATATAGGAGAGTAGTTACATATTTTTTTCGATAGCGATGCGTGGCTGATAAAACCATTACACTATCTTTAATACTTAAAGCATATAAGTGGTTTAACATTACATGATTTGGTTCAGGTAAAAGCGTTGGCTCACACTGAAAAAATATTTAATAATTAATAAATATTTCCCCTATAGAGTTTTATAAACTATTAATAAAGTTTAATACTTTTATAATTACTCACTGATAATGGTGTATCTTTATTAAGAATAACTTGCAACAAATGTGGTGGTAAAATTGGGGGTCCAACTACTTTTTCCCATGGTTTATGAGGTGGTATTTCTTGACCATATTCAGTTTGAATGCTACTTGAAACACCTTCGCTATCTTTAGCAAGTGCTTGGAAAACTTCAAAATCTGATTTTCTTACCGATACTAAATTGTTTTTAGAACCCATACCATTGTCAACTATTTTCTAAAAATATAATTTATATTGATCGTTATTTTAATATATGTTTTTACAATAGAAGTAAATTAAAATAAATTAGTAGATCTACATCTCACCAAACCAGGGTCATGCCTCCATTCTCCATCGACATAGAATTTGTATTGATGTTCTCCTTCTGGTAGATCAATAATAGTAACAAAATCACCATGGCTTTTTACCATAGGCAACGTTTTCCATCCTGTGAACGTTCCACTAATATATACTTGCTTACCGCCGCCTTCCCATTTAAAAACGGTAGGCAATACTTTGCTATCGGTAACTTTCGTTCCTTCAGACACTGTATTAGATCTTGGACGTGGTCCACCAAAGTTATTTCTATCCTATTAAGTTGTTTATATAAAAAACCAAGTATACATCTATTGTCACAATTAATTTCTATAGTGTTAGTTAAATACTTTAGTATAATAAGGCTCTTCTTCTTCTTGAGACGATTGGAAGACTAGCTTTTGATCGGGCTTTTTGTCAAATACAAATGCCTGACCTTCCTTTCCTGGAGAAGGTGGTGCATGTTCTTTACCATGACGATCTCTGCTTGGATTATGGCTATGACTGACTGTTTGATTACTCCCCGCATTTCCCATTATTGTGTAACAATATCTCTAAGTATACAAGTTAAATTTTTAATATATCTTACTTTTCTATCAAAAATAATCACTTGGAAATAAAATGTTCTTTCAGTTTTACCTAGTTAAGTAAACGAAGTAACGTCAAAGGATCCTGATTTTTTATTTTTCATATGACTGCGATTTACGACGTAAGTTGTTGAAAAAATGCTAAGAACTATAAAGTGTAATTGTATCTGATGGAGCTAAAAGAGAAACAACGTAAGTAGTAGTCAATATACCTAACGTTTTTGGTGGAGAAAATAGGCGGGAAATATGAATTATCTTTTCAATTTTTGTACATTTTCAATTATATTGTTCTCATTTTGCATTTATAATATAATTGATATTAAATAATAGTGAAAAAGGTTGACAATATTAATATTTTATATTTTGTATATTTACAACAATTACATGATATTTACATAACAGAATATAAAGCATGTAGATCATCGGTCGATAAAGTAGAGAAAACAAAGTTACTAAGAAAAGATATTAATTTTTCATAAGCGACATAGATTTTTACTATAGTTTTTAATTATTCATTACAATGAATAAAATATGTAAAATAAAGCGAATACGTCAAACATATTTCTTATAACTAAGTTACACCTTCATATATACATATATATGAAGTAACTTAGTTATAAGAAACAGAAAAGTTACAAGAAAAGAAATACAAATTACAAGAACAGAATAGTAGCAAATGCTGGAACACATTGCAAGGTAAGAAGTGATTATTATTACTATTAGTTATTATTATTATTATTATTATTATAACTTTATGTATATGTTATATTTTAATTAATAAAATTACATATCAACCAGAACATCCTCTACAACCACAATGTATACATTCCACTATTCTCCCTTCTTCTAATTTGCCTTTTGGTACACGACAAATACAATTTGTACCGAAATTTGTATCTCTTGTTTGTATACAACGCAAACAACACAAGTTCTCATATCCAACTTTTTTCCATTTTGCTATGAGATTTTGGTCCGCTATGTTTTCATTCAAACAGTAGTCGTATAATTCTGTAAACAGAGAGAGAGTACAAAATTTTATAGTAAATAATACAACTATGATATAAATAATAATAATTAGCAATGCATAGAAAAATAAAATATATATATATATATTTAGGATACTATAGATAATAACTTACCGCGACTTATAGCTTTTCGTCTATAAAATAGATCATATATGTATCGTGATTTTTGATGATGTATTTTAAATATCGGCCATAAAGATTCCTGTTTACGTTTACCTTCGTGTGGCTCTGTTTCGGCTGTAAACAGAATTATTTAATTACAACATTCCTTTACAGTTATCACACAAACAAGAATTCAATAGGATAATTAATAACCTTAAAGTGTATCTTAGTTTATTTACCTTCGCGCATCTTTTGTTCCAGCTCTTCTAATGTTGGTTCAATTAATTCCCAACCATCAGGTGGAGATTTTTTACTTCTTCGTACCTTCGGCATTTTATTTACGAATAAATAAATAAATACAGTATTATAATTTTAAACGAATCTAATGTTTACGTGATACTTTCATCTATGATTAAGAACATTTAAATTTTACATAGAGTGTCGATCCTTCAGGAAAAATTAATTTTAGATCTAATGTTTATTTTTCACAGTTTATATTAATATTGTACAAAGACTTCCTTTAATTTTTGTTATCATGTAACTAAGATCTCAAGAAAACATAAGCAAACAAAAAGAAGAATTTATATATATCTTTATCATACATGATTTCTGCTTTCCAACTCTAAGACGAAAATTTGTCCAGCATGCTGATTGGTGATTACAAAAGCCTTTCATTGGCTGTGTGGAGACATATCGACATTTTCTAAAACGTAATTTCTTAAAAAAGAAATTAGACAAATATTTTGACACAAGATCAGAGAGGAAAAGAAGATTATTATTTTATTTAAAAAAAAAAAATAAATTAGATTATATATTATATTGACCGACATTAAATATTATAGAGTTGATTCGTTGTTTCATTTAACAGATTACAGGATATGATATTTTATTATTTTAGTTAATATTAGTATTATACCTCAGTTTTTGAAAAAAATATAATCGTAAATTAAACTATTCATTATATACGTATTAATTAACGACCAATTTCAATTTGATTGATTGTACCCTCATTACCGTTCACACGAAGATTCTTGGAGACTTTAATGCTCAAATGGTTAAATAAATCGATATATATTTTTTTTTGGGATTAGCTAGTCATTTTATAAAGTAACATATTCAAGGCGTTTATAAATTAGTTGTACAAAAGCAAAATTAAATGATGAGAAAAGTAATTGGCAATTAATTTTGGCTACTAATGTAAAATACAAAAAAATGACAGGGCGTGACGGACTGCACTAGAAGACTTGGCAGGTAGCAAGTTGAATATGGCTGGCATAGAAATAGAGAAATAGAAATAAATATATTTAGGATGTAATAATATTTATTTTATGAAATATTAATATCTTGTTGTTGTAAATTTAAGTATAGAATTAAAGGATCGGATGAATATGAGAAAGGGTTAGAAAAGTAACTGTAGATTTGAAGTGTTCTATTAAAAGTCACGCAGAACACATTTGATTACATTAACGATCGACGGATTCATAAATAGATCCACTCCACAACATTCATGATTACCATGTCATAATAGCCACAATAATACTATAATTAATAATTATCTCGTTAGGAGTAATGACAAATTTTACATACTCTTATTTTTTAGTTCGTAGAAGAGTAAGCGAGTGGCCCCTTATTTCATAGAGCATAACGAGGCCACTTAAGGATACTTTTGTTATTGTTATAACAATGTTATCCACACGATTTGTTGAATTGTACATGTCGATATATATTTATAACATACATATACATATATGTATACACACATACATACATACATATATATATCCGCATTGGTTTACATTTCCAGGATCTATCCATTATGTATTGATATTAAACACACACATATATATATGTATATGTATATATATATATATATATGTATATATATTTTTATAAATATATACACAGGCTTATAAAATATTATTTTTCGTCTTTTAACACCTAGAAGTTGAAAAAAGGCTAATATGCACTACAATTTCACGAATTGAAGAATAATTCTGATATTTTTAAATATGATGATCGTATGGCCTCTCATGACGATTATATTTATAGAATGAAATTGTCGTTGATCGACCGTAGGATAGACCTAATCATGAGATTAATTATGATTAGTCTCTGGAAAAATAGAATAACTATTAATATTTCTAAATTAAATGCTAACGACCAAAAGACCATATATCATTTTACATGTCTTTAAATGCATATAATTATTATTAAAAGAAAAAGGAAACGCAACGTTCTTAAGGACGTTTGATTTCAGTTTCTATTTCATTTTCTTATTTTTATTTTTTATTTTTTTAATTTATTCGGCCTATCCTACACGATTCGCACGCCAGATCGCGTAATTAAAATCCAAGAAAACTTTTTGGAACGATTATCTTTAAACATGATTTTTAATGTTTGAAAATCATGTCAATTTCACGAAGGCGTCCATCAAATTTTTTTATGTACATTGATAGTATTTTCTTTCCATTTTTCTATTTTTTTTTTCTTTAGACTTTTATTTTTGTTACGAATTGTCTATTATACTCTTAAATGCGTCTTTTTATGGACGTTTAATTTATATATAATTATATTTATATATATATTTTTCTTCTTGACAAATAATAAATATAGTGTACAATTTTGTTTCATTCAATTTTTTTCACGCGATCGAAATTTGGTATGATAATCGAAAAAGTACAAGGTTAATGTCGAATAGAATGAATATTATATATATATATTCTTTTTCCTTTAATTAAATCGTTCAAAACGGAGACCTCGATTTGACGTAGCACACGTTCAACGACACTACATTTTTTTTCCATTATTTTTTTTTCCTTTTCTTTTTTTTCACTCCCTCCCCCTCTTTAAAATTACACCATAAATGTGCCGACATGGAGGACAAGTGCAATTAACTTTTTCGATGATACGGGCCTTCGAGAGTAGAATCACGTTATTTTAAACAATTGGAATTAGAAAATCTTTACGTTTATAATTGTTTATTTTGTATGCTATAATTATTATTAATATTTGAGCCGTTTATTTAGAAGGTTGTGCGATTTCATTCTTTTTTTTTTTTTCTTTTTATTTGCCAACGAAACAATTTGATTAAAACCATAGATGTCGTTAACTGTTTCTTGTTTTTTTTTTCTTTTTAAATTAAAATTCGCATTGTTTTAAAAATAAAAAGCTCATTTTTTTGTTATAGTCGTCTATCGTAATTTTGAACACAGTCCAATCAATTATTTGTCCGATTATGTTATTATTATTATTAATATTATTATTCTTATCATCGAAAGCACCGATCGAGAAAACATCTTTGCACACTATCCTCATTCTTAATATAAAATAATACATATCTCAATAATTCAAATTTTGTACTTACTTAACTTATGTAAATTGCTACGTCGCAGAATATGACTTTATTATATTAAAAACGAAGAAATATTTAATCCTTTGGTTACTGACGACCAATATATGGGTCATATATGCAAAAGCTCCGTATGAACGATTAACCGACCCATATAGGGGTCGTATATACGTACACACAAACGATACTCAAGCCTTAGCATGCCGTAGAGAAAGAGTTAAATGCGATTTTCTTAAATATCGTAATTGTAGAATTTCTAAATTCTCTGCATATTTTTACAAATCTTCTCTTGATAATATTTCTATTATTTTTATTAATTGTCGTAGTTTCTATTTCAAGAAAATATATCACAAATTAACGACTATCCTGCGACGTAACATTACCGTAGCCTAAATTTGCATTTGTTAATAAGGAATATCCAAATTTTTTGTGGCTACGCGTATGTAAATACGTCATTTTGAATTATTCTAAGATATACATTGCTTCTTCTTCTTCTTCTTGTTTTGTTTTATTTTCTTTTAATTTATTTTCTTTACTTTTATTTTAATTTAATTCAATTTAATTTAATATTTAATTTAATTTATTTCTTTTTTTTTTTTCTAAAACATTCGATCGATCGTTTATTCCAGTCACTCGAAGAAGATGGATTTTATTTTTATTTATTTATATATTTATCATCTAATCCAGCTTCTTAAAAATGATTGCTGGAAAGTGCAGAAAGCAGACGTATGCATGTATTTATGTATGTATATATGTTGTATCTATGTTTTGTATGTTTGTATGTATGTATGTATGTATGTACGTACGTATGTATGTATGTATATTTTAGTAATGTGTACGGTTTTGCTACAACATTGCTTGATAGAAAATTCGTTTTTTTTTTTATATCTTTTTTTTGATTTTTTTTTTCTTAATAACGATAGATATTCATGTCGCAATTTCGACGAGATCTGCTTTTTAATTCGTCCACGGATCCTAGCCCTAGTCCTGTATTAATTTTTTTTTTCTTTTCTTTTTCTATTTTTTCTTCTTTTTTCTTTTTTTTTATACACACTTGAGATCTCAATGATTATTACGCACAAAAAAATATCTTTCCTCTTACAACGAATCGGGATGATAGAAGATTTTTTTTTTCGCTAAGTTACCTCGGAATGTTCGTAATTTGCAGTTTATCAAAACCTTCCTATCTCTTTTATTCTTTCTGAATTTTTTTAATTTCTTATTTTCTTTCTCTCTCTCTCTCTCTCTCTCTCTCTCTCTTCTTTTCTCTCTCTTCTTTTACTTTTTTAAAAACTTTTTTTACTTTTATGTGTATTTTTTGTTTGTTTATCTTCATCGTCATCGTCATCGTGATTATACCTGAGCTGTTGGCGATCGATACTCTAAACGCGCGACTACTGGCTAAAAAGTACTCGCTTTTTAATACGTAAATTTTCCCTACGTTTTTTTCACAGTTTTATGTCGGAAAAGAAGGTTCGTCGCCTTTAAGATTTTAAACGCACAGGGTGATTCGACGCGTGTTTTTTTTTTTTTTTTTTTTTTTAACGGCGCATTTCTTATTTTCCGCGTACGGAAAACTCGCGAGAGAGTTCTTCGACGGAGAGGTTATTATTATTTTTTTTTCTTTATATTTATATATTTATGTCTTTATCTTTTTTAATTCTTTTCCCTTCCTCCTCCTTCTTCATTTTTTTTTGTTTATTAAATTATTGAACACATATTCGAACTTACGCATTGTTCGAGCCGTGTAATACACGCAAGTAAAAGTGTATCGCGTTTATGAGATCGTACGCCATAAAAAGAATTTTTTTCTTATTGTTTTATTATCAATTGTTGTCACTTTTATTTATTTGATTAATATTTTATAATCTTCAGATATTTTCCTTTCACGTACTTTTTGTAAATATTTGTTTCCGTACGTTGAAATACATTCAATGATATAGAACGTAATTTCGAAAATGTTTCAAAAAATACTGACCTGATAAATAATAAAATTTGACTTTTCATTTTATTTTTAATAGAAATATCGGACGAATTGTAATTTTCGGATAAAAACAAAGATGTCTTTTTAATTTTAATGTTTTGAAAAATGATCGAGAGGACGACAGCCATGCTCGACGCCATTTTAAGATTTTCAATCAATTTCGTAATTGACATGGTAGATATCTATTTTTTGAGTTTATTAAATTTTTTTTTTTTTTTTTTTTTTTTTTAATTAGATCTCATGTTTT